TATACACCCACACTCTCCGGGAAAAGTCATCAATAAAGGTTACAAAATAGTGTTTCCCGCCTAATGAAGGTGTTTTGGAGGCACCCCAAACATCAGAGTGAACATAATCCAGAATACCTTTAGTATTATGGATTGTTGTTCCAAATTTAACCCTTGTTTGTTTCCCCTTGATACAATACTCACAAAACTCCAAATTGCAAGTCTTTACTCCTTTTAACAATCCTTGCTCTAATAAAATCTTCAAGGATTTTCCTCCAGCATGTCCCAAGCGCATGTGCCATAGCTTGGTTGCTTCTACCTCCTTGTCATCACTGGATGTCACTGTTGTTATCCCAATAACTGTACTACCGTGATAGTGGTACATGTTATTATTTCTCCGAATTCCCTTTATTACCACTAGTGCACCGGAGCATATTCTCATTATCCCATTTTCTGCAACGACTTTGAGCCCCTTTGACTCTAGGGCTCCTACAGAAATGAGATTTTTCTTCAATTCCAGTACGTATCGAACATCTGTTAATGTTCTGATCAATCCATCATGGTTCCTTAATCGGATTGAACCAATACCATATTCAGTAAGAGGATTATTATTCGCGGTGTGAATAACTCCACATTCCCCTTCTTGAAAAATTTCGAGCACCTCATCTTTGGTTTTCATAGTATACACCCACACTTTCCGGGAAAAGTCATCAATAAAGGTTACAAAATAGTGTTTCCTGTCTAATGAAGGTGTTTTGGAGGCACCCCAAACATCAGAGTGAACATAATCCAGAATACCTTTAGTATTATGGATTGCTGTTCCAAATTTAATCCTTGTCTGTTTTCCCTTGACACAATACTCACAAAACTCCAAATTGCAAGTCTTTACTCCTTTTAACAATCCTTGCTCTAATAAAATCTTCAAGGATTTTCCTCCAGTATGTCCCAAGAGCATGTGCCATAGCTTGGTTGCTTCTGCCTCCTTGTCATCACTGGATGTCACTGTTGCTATCCCAATAACTGTACTACCGTGATAGTGGTACATGTTATTATTTCTCCGAATTTCCTTTATTACCACTAGTGCACCAGAGCATATTCTCACTATCCCATTTTTTGCAACGACTTTGAGCCCCTTTGACTCTAGGGCTCCTACAGAAATGAGATTTTTTTCAATTCCGGTACGTATCGAACATCTGTTAATGTTCTGATCAATCCATCATGGTTCCTTAATCGGATTGAACCAATACCATATTCAGTAAGAGGATTGTTATTCGCGGTGTGAATAACTCCACATTCCCCTTCTTGAAAAATTTCGAGCACCTCATCTTTGGTTTTCATAGTATACACCCACACTTTCCGGGAAAAGTTATCAATAAAGGTTACAAAATAGTGTTTCCTGTCTAATGAAGGTGTTTTGGAGGCACCCCAAACATCAGAGTGAACATAATCCAGAATACCTTTAGTATTATGGATTGCTGTTCCAAATTTAACCCTTGTCTGTTTTCCTTTGACACAATACTCACAAAACTCCAAATTGCAAGTCTTTACTCCTTTTAACAATCCTTGATCTAATAAAATCTTCAAGGATTTTTCTCCAGCATGTCCCAAGCGCATGTGCCATAGCTTGGTTGCTTCTGCCTCCTTGTCATCACTGGATGTCACTGTTGCTATCCCAATAACTGTACCACCGTGATAGTGGTACATGTTATTATTTCTCCGAATTCCCTTCATTACCACTAGTGCACCGGAGCATATTCTCATTATCCCATTTTCTGCAACGACTTTGAGCCCCTTTGACTCTAGGGCTCCTACAGAAATGAGATTTTTCTTCAATTTCGGTACGTATCGAACATCTGTTAATGTTCTGATCAATCTATCATGGTTCCTTAATCGGATTGAACCAATACCATATGCAGTAAGAGGATTATTATTCGCAGTGTGAATAACTCCACATTCCCCTTCTTGAAAATCAATGAACCAGTCCATGTTGGGACACATATGATAGCTACAAGCTGAATCCATCAGCTATATGTCAGATAGTTTGAATGGCTCAGTTGTAACTAGTGAGAAATCAGAGTCGTCACAATCAGCTACATTTGAATCCATTACAGCCTTTCCATTGTTAGGTTTGGCCTTGTTTTTCAACTTTGGACAGTCTTTCTTCCAATGCCCCCTTTCTCGGCAAAAGGCACATTCATCTTTGCTGGGTCTGGATCTTGACTTGGATCTTCCTTTCTTCGTTCTCATATGATTTTGAGAATGACCTCTCATGACCAGTGCTTCTCCTTCTCCACTCTTTTGTTTTTCTCTCTTTCTTTGTTCATAGCTATACAAGACAGAACAAACTTCTTTGAGAAACACTTCATCATTCCCATGAAGTAGAGTAGTTTCGAGGTGCTCGTACTCATCGGGAAGTGAACTTAATAACATTAAGGCCATATCTCCATCACTAAAAGTCACGTCCATATTCTGCAAATCTGTCGCCAACTTATTAAAGCTGGTGATATGATCATTCATTGTAGTACCAGAAATATATGTGAAGCGTAACCGCCTTTTTTCATGTAAAGTTTATTTTGACTGTTTTTCTTCAAGAATTTATCCTCCAACGCATTCCACAATTTACTTGCAGAAGTTTCTTTTGTGTGTGGATACTTTTGTTCTCTTTCGAGGTAAGATCGAATGATACCACAAGCAACGCAGTTGATAATCTTCCAATCTCCTTTTTCGATATTGTCTGATTTCTTTTCTTCTATGGCAATATCTAGCCCTTGTTGAAAAAGGACATCAAGAACCTCAACTTGCCACATCCCGAAATGTCCTGACCCGTCAAAAATTTCAACTGCAAATTTCGTGTTTGACATAATTCTTGTCATACGCGAAGATATCAACGACGTATTACTGACACCCGATGTGGACTCTTCATTTTTATTATCTCCCATTTTGCTACAAATACTATTTATTTGCTGACAGTATAGAACACCAAAGTAATTCTTTTCTAATGTGGAAGTTCAGACTATGCTGCAACCACAGAGCATACTAAGATAGAATCTTGGCTCTGATACCAATTGTTGCGGAAGCCGAATATATAAAGAGTGATTAAATCATAACTACTATATCTAAATGTAGCTAATAAATAGTAAATGAGACAATAATAAAATGAACACCAGAAATTAATGAGGTTCGGCAAAATTTGATTTTTGCCTAGTCCTCGGACACAATCAACTCAAATTTATTTCACTCCAAAAATACAAGTGAAATACTACAAGAGAGAAAGAAGATTCAAATGCCTTAGGAGATAAGAAGGCAAGTGAGAGATATTTACAAATGAACAAAACTCTTGCTATTTATAGAAGGGAAATGACCTTAATAATGTCATGCATGACATCATATTAAGTGTGAACATGCAATGTAAATGCATGAAAAATGCATCTACCAATTTCTTCATAAAAGGAGGCTTCAAATGTTCACACTAGTTCACATTAATCTTGTCAAAATTCAATAATAATTGTAATCAATAATCTGTAAATACAAGGTGCACCAGGTCTACCGAATCCGCCGTTAGCTACGGGATCCTTCAAAATCTCCCCCCATTTATACTTTTCTTTGTAAACAATAAATATTTACATGAAAGCATTTTCATAATAGTACAAGGCATTTCAATTCTTATATTTCGGTAACGGTAATCATATCTCAAGTAACAGTAGTAACAGTAAGAACATTTTAAATAACTATAGACCTCTCAAGTAAATTATTCAGTAACATATCAAGTAAATGACTTGTCCCACATGCAATTTCAAACATTCGGTAACACATTTTATTTTCAAAATAATGTATAAACCATGCAGGTTATGAAAACACAAATTGCGGTAAGATTACTACTCACGGTACTCGTGTCGAATTACCAAACGCTTCACCTCGAGCAATCTGTACAACTTTCTCCGATCAATCTATAATCACATCACATTAATCTCGTATTAATATCCTTTGTTAAGAATAATTAGTAACTAATTTAGATTACCCAACCCTCTAAATCAAATGTTCAATACTCAATTCGTCAATTTTTATCTACCATGCTACAGTTAACTTAGACTAGTCCATTATCTTCTAATAAAAGGGCGTTTGTATTGTCTATCATTGTACTCTTCAATCTCCTTAACCTTGTGATCTAGAAGAAACTTGAATAACGCTGTTGCCTATAATACTTCTCGCTGGTATTAAACCTTCAGTACCCAACGTAATTACACAGATCAAAGGATAATCACAGCTAAAGCTGTAGAAAATTTTCTTTTTTCTTTTTTACCTTGAGCCCAATAGAAATCTTTCACGATTTGTTTGTTTCCCTGTAGCGTAATGTCCCCTTTATTTTGCAGTTCCTTTCTTTCTTCCCTTTAAGGCTTGATATTAGCTTCTGTTTTTGTTTGCAGGAGCTTTAATGCTCCATCCCTCCAACTCTTATCCTTTTTTCCTTGAGATCAAAAAACAGATTGGTTATTTGGATACTACATTTTCAAACTGCTTACATTTTTTTTGATCAAGTAAAGTCATTATATGCCAATTTACATGTCAAATATTTGCTGAAATTGTGTAAATAAGTGTTTGAAAAACATTTAATTAGAAGAAATCGTTAAATATTGCATGCAAATGGGAAAGTGGAAATGAGTATACTAAGCAGCTATACCAGATAATAGCTAACAGAACAAAGCACCTTCTTCTTCTCTCCTGAAAACAGCACATACTTGTGCGTATCTACTTTTTCATTTTTTAACTATTTTCTTTCCCGGTTCTCTAGTTGTAACCATCCGAGCTTAGTATCGTCAACCAAATTCCAACAACAAGGTACAATTCTATTGAAATAACACGCTATAACATGTGACCTGTCCTTTATGTCAAAATCATGGTTACGCGCAATTATTTTTTATTGGTGAACTTGTATACCAACTCGTACTAACAGACACAGGTAGCAACAAAATATGGATTCAATGCTACCCTTTGTTAAATGTGGTTACCAAAAAATTTATTTACCAATGTATATTGTCTGATTCTTTCTTGAAACCATATTTTTTACGCTCATAGAACAGATCAGTTTTAGCACTTCCAAGATTGACTATCTTAGGACAACCATCCCTGTCTTTCTCACAAAGACGCCCAATAGCTATTCCTGGCTGCTTCCTGCACATGATCAAGTCAGGATGATGCTTAGCCATGTTTTTGACGTCTCAACCTGAAAAAATGAAGCAAGATAACGCACTAAGTACCAGATAATAAGAGATAACAAAAGTTCATATAAGAGCATGCAGATGTAGTTTATTCATCAAATTAATAGCATGTTCATATATTCACCTGTACTGACTGGGGTCTCATGAAGGTATTCATATATTACTTTTTCTTCTTTGTTCTCTCTGGGCAAATAACTAAATTTGCAGAAGGTCGAGCATTATTTAAGCTCAGTACCAAATAGAGTTACATAAAAGAGCCGGTAGATATAGTCTTTTCATTATATCAATAGCACACTGATACATTCACATCTGCATTGACTAGGATTTCATTAAGGAAATCACATTGTCTCTTTTCTTCCTGGGCAAATAACTAAATTTGCAGAAACTCGAGAATACTACTGAGATTTCAAAGCGTCTACTACTTGAATCAAGTTAAGCTCTTATCCAAAGCTATTTAAGTTTCAAAGCACCATTCTTTTGGTGAAAAAGACTAACTTTCCTTTCTTTGAGCG